TGCTTTTTATATATACACTTACAAATATAAACTGCTACTTTGCAAATAAGTGTCTGTACCAAAGACACAAGACCTGAATGTCCTAGAACTAAATGTACTCCAAATCAAGGCCAGGTTGGATGGGACTCTGATCCACCTGGTCTAGTGAGAAGTGTCCCTGCCCATGGTAGAGGGGGCTGGAATGAGATGATCTTTAAGGTCCTTTCCAACCCAACCATTCCATGACCATTCTTTGATCTGTTTATCATTCCATAAGCCTTTATGGATTGGAAAAAGAAAAGCCATCAGGAAATCCATAGGGATTTCAGTTCATTGACTTGAACTCTTTGGCAACAATAAAAGGCATGCATACCTCATAGAACTGCTCGTTAAGGAATAACAATGGAGATAACATCTCCATATGTAAGGAAATACAGTTTTGCTTGGCTTGCATCCTCTTGCTTTCATACTGATTTTCATAATTATGTATCTTTTGTATTGAAAAATTCTAAAGATCTTTCAAATAGTCAAGAAGCTATGAAGACAAGAGCTAAGCAAATTACCTTTTCAACTGCAAGCAGATATCATTTAAAATTGTGCATATCAAGACCTTCCATTTTGCTCCATTGTTGTGATTGTTACTACATTTCAAAAAATAAATATTGGAGCTGGGGTGTTTAACATGTTAAACACAAGTGAGAAAACCAGTTCTAAAGACTAAAGAGCTGTTACAGCAGTAGTCTGTAGCTGTTTGAAAAAACATTAAACAAGAAGCAAGTACTGTAGGTCCTCCCTGAAGTGTAAACTCCTTTTTGTGGTTTTTATGGATTCTGTAAAATGTTGGCAGACGAACAGTGTAATAAAAACCATGAGTGTCCCCAGTTGTCTGCTCTGCCACACTGCCAAATGTCTAACCCACCACCCCTGAGCAGTCAGCAGAGGCATCTGCTGCTTCTGAGGGGAAAAAAGGCTTTTTGGGATAATGCTGCCTTGGTTACTGGTTTGATCAAAGATGCTGGGCTGCACATTCCCATTGCTCAGGCGTGGGGACACTGTCCCTTGTGAAGGACAAGGGCAGGAGGGGGCAGTTCTTATCCCCCTGCAGCAAGGCTTGTCATGCTGTCAGCAGCTCCCAGTTATGAGCCAAGTTAGTCCCCAGTGTCTCGTTTAGTTCAATTGTTTGGGTGGTAATTGCAGAAGCATTTGGATACGTCACTGGTTGTTCTGAAAACCCTGACTGTGGAAAATGAAGCTTTTCTAAAATAAATCAGACTTTTACATGATGAGATCACCTTTGTCAGTACAGTTCTGTGCACATAAGGCTAGTTTTCACCTCCATTTCCAAAGATGAATTAACTGACTTTCAATGAGTTTGAAGAAAAAATGAATATTAAAAATTACAGTTAGCTAATTTTGCAGACAAAAACCAGTGTAAAGATGTCTAAGTGTTATCAAATGTTTTCAATTTACACTTGGCACAATTACTTCCATGCTTGACTTCAGAACTGAGCAGATGCCAAACCAAGGAAGTAAGCACATGGAGAGCAAACTGTTGGAATTATAAAAAGATTAAATAACATTTCTGAAAGCTATTTTTCTCTTTGGAGACCTGAGTAAGTCCACAAAACTTAAGAGTAAAGTTAAGAGTACAAAGCCAAAACACTGTAACTCAACCTGTGTACAGCATTGACATTCAGCTTTTTATTTTATAGAGGATGTCTGAAATGATTCTAAGTTTAGGTGAGCATATACACTAATTTGTTTAAATAAATGCTTTGATTAATAACAATTTATATCAGCATTTCATAATTATCCTAATTAAAACAGCAAAGCACTTGCAATAAGCAGGCTAATAACATGGAAAGCTTATTCTTAATGCATGTTGGATACTGTACTGCTTTGACATTTTTACTGTCATGGTTTTGCCTCATTTTGGTCTCCATGGTCTAGAAAGTCTTCATGGATTTCCCTAAGTGCATATAAAACTATAGACAAAAGTATATTCATATAATTTCCATAGTCAGTTTCAAGGCTTCTGCTGAAAGCATTGAGCTCTCTGCTCTCTGTGTGTGGGGTGCTGCCAACACCTCAAGGACTGAACCCCACAAAGACCCCCAGTTCACACTGCTCTCTCTCTGTAGAGGACTTGTGACATGAGACACTGCTGTATTTCTGTGTAGCAGTTCGGTTTGGGGCAGTGTTTTGACAGTGTTTCTCGAGATTGTATCACTTCACATATATATTTCACTCTTCAATTAACATCAGAACAGATTTCTGATTCTGTATTTTACACAAGCTAGACTGCTTGTATTTGCCCCCTTTTTGTTAAAGACACTATTTTTTCTGAAGCAGTTTTGGTGTTTCTCATTTTGTCTATCTTATTCAGGAGCATCTGCCTGGGATATATGCACCAGCAGCCAGAGGTTTAATTAAAGTAAAAACAGGTAGTAAGGAAGACACCCTGAAATTTAGTTTTAATGCTTTGGAATGTGTGCTCACCATAGGTATGGTGGAACACTTTAATGTATCTGTGTGATTGGTGACAAAACAAATGACAGGGACAACACCCTCCCTCTAATGCCCGTACAGCAGCACGACTGCAGGAGCTGAAACAGAGCCGGCTTCTCAATTTCAAGCACCCTGCAATTTCCTCTGCTGACAAATGGGTATGAGATAGCAGCAGCAAACCTCCAAACATTAGTCACACTGCTTTCCAACAAGCAACAATTACATGTAATAGGTACTCTGTCATCTTGCTCCAGCTGAATTTTATAAAGAATTCACTAATAAAAACTTGGCTTATGCTTACAAGCTCAATAAGCTACTTCAGAAAGCACAGGAAACAACTTCAGCTTGACTTGAGTTTAGTAGCATATCGTCAGCTGTTAAAGTTTGCTGCACATTTATAAGTTTATTTGTCAGTTTTAAATCAAGTGTTGGGCTATGAGTTCTTTCACCAGTTTTATCTTTGCATCTATTTTCATATTGCTGGGTTGCATTACAATTCAATGCATTTTTAAGACATCTCAGCATATCCAATATGAAGGTCAGAAATATGAACTGTCTGAATTATTAACATTGATGTAAGTGCACATATCAAGATATTCAGCTATTTATACAGCTATCCAGCCTCATTAGCCTAATAGGTCTTGCTAATTTTGCTGCATGGACAAAAGTGATGTACTCTTTCACAGAGGTTGTGGTCAAGCTCCTTGAACCAAAACCAAGGATTTACTCTAGTTAAAGAACAAAGAAATGCTGCTCTTCTGTTACTCAAAGCCCCTAAAAGCAAGAGGTGAAAATATGATTCTGACTTATGTGAAGTTTGAGTGACCTTAATATACTGTTGACTTGGGATCAATACTGGGATAGAAGTAAGGTGAAGTTGGTTGTAAAGCCCGTGAAGTTGAGACAGTGCCATGAGGTGCCTCAAATTCTCATTCTAGAGTCACCAGAATCCAGTTTCCATTAGGGACTGGTATGTAGGGATACCAATGGCCTGGTGTGCATATTGTGGCACATAATTGAGACAAAACTACTGATTTGGACTAAGGCGGATGGGTCACCTTTACTTAACCTGGAAAAGAGCTGTCCATTAAAATGCACAGGTTTTTGTCACCCGCTGACACAAAATTTCTGAGGGGAGCTGAAGGTGACCTTCATACTCAGAGGCCCACTCTAGTTTACCAGCCTATGTACACATGGGTAGATTTGTACCTCGATTTCAGGATGGGATTGGAGGTGAGTTGACTATTCCTTTGACACATGTGCCATTTCCCCCATGAGGCCCAGAAATACAGTTTGAGGATACACTCTTACAGTAGTGGAAATTTAAACATCTGAGGAAAAGGCAGAGTTGTCTGAATACAGGAAATCTATTCTTTGCTGCTGTTGAGATGAACACTGAATTGCATTCAACCTGCTTTACAATTTCAAAAGAAACAAAGGAGGAGATAGCCCAAGCACTAGGAGCTTACTCTGAGGCTCATCAGTGGCAGCTCAAATGAAAATGCTTTGTGGAGCAAAAAAATCGAAACTTAAAACCTTGTTTGCCTGCTGATACATCGTGTACAGAACTTCTCAGAGCAATTTCATCTGGCTGCCATCTGCCAGGTTCGGTGTAATGTGGCAGCGACTCTGTTCTCCCCGCGGCAACTGACCAGAGCAGGAGCCCGGCAATGCGAACACTCCAAAGAAACTTTCACGCACATCCACGATGCTTCCTGCTGGCACCAGAACCTGGGGGAATTTCAGTCTGCTCCTGAACCGCGGCTATGGCAGCTTAAGTGGCCAAAGGATGGAGTGGGGGGCTCCTGTTTGGGACACTGAGCTCAAATCCCTTCCCTGAGGCTCGGCGGTCAGTGATGCCCTGGTGACAGACACCCGGCTGTCCCGGCGGGCTGGCACCGGCACCTGGCACGGGCTGAGCGCGGCAGCCTCTGCCCTGCTCCCGCCAGGCCCTCCGCGGCTTCCGAGCTCCATCCGAGCCCCTCCAAGGGTGAGGGGAGCGTGGAGAACTCGGGTGCGGAGAGCGCCGAACGAACAGCGCCCCGGCCCCGGAACATCCCGAGAGACAGGGACATCGCCTCCCGGGGTAAATCCACCGGGAACGGCGATAGTCCAGACATTCCTTATTCCCAAACAAGCGCCCTTCCCAGGAACAGCCCGCGGGCTGCGGGGCCGCGAGATCCCGTCAGCCGCTCCCAGAGCAGAGAAGCCCAAAACCTGAGGTGTTAACGAAACCCCCGGGATGCGCCGGGGTCCAAACCTTCCTCATTCCCAAGCAAACGCCTTCCCCAGCAGCGCCGCCTCTCCCCGGCCCGGTCCCCGCCGCGCTCCCCTCACGCCGCCCCCGCGCGCCCTGCGCACTCAGCCGAGCCACCGCCCCCAATCCCCTGAGAGCCCGCCCCCTCTCTCGGCCTCACGATTGGCCGCTCTCGCTGTCTGTCCAGCGCCACCCCGGCCCATTGGGCGAGGCCATGGCACTACCCCGCCCCCGGCGCTATCGGTTGGGGCGAGCCGAGAGTAAATAGACGCCGGAGCCCAAGATGGCGGATCCTTCCAGTCCCGGTCGTGGCGCGGCGCCCCCCGAGCAGGAGCTGCTCGGCGCCAAGACGGCCCCGGACGCGAAGGGTTCCCGTGGATCCCAGCCGGCCGCCAAGAAGGTGAAGGGAGCGGAGGAGCGGAGCCTGAAGGGCGCTAAGCGCGTCAACGGTGAAGGGGGCGGCGGTGGCGGGAGCGCCAAGCAGCCGCTGCCCGCGGTCGTGCCCAGCTACAGCGGCCCCGGGCCGTGGGGCTTCGCCGCGCTGCCCTCGGGCCCCTCGGCGGGCGCGGGGGGCTTTGCGTTCCCTTCCCCGCTGTCCCGGAAGCTGCTGCCGCCCGCGGTGCTGCTGCCGCCGTCCGCCTCCCCCTCCTCGTCCCACCCGCAGCACCAGCACCGCCACCACCGGCACCGCCTGGCGCTGGCGGCCGAGGCGGGAGGCGGCGGCGGCAGCGCCAAGCCCAAGAGACCCAAGGAGAAGCGGGACAAGGAGAGGAGGAAGCACGGGGCGCTGCCCGTTGTGGCGGCGGCGGGAGATGGCGGCGGTGCCCTGAGCCGGGAGGAGAACGGGGAGGTGAAGCTGCTGTTCCCGAAAGGTGAGCGGCGGGGCAGCGCCGGCAGCGGGGCGGGAAGGGAGGGCGGCAAGGGGCGGCGAGCGCGGGGGGCTCGCTGGAGCTGCCCGGCGGCAGCGGGAGGTGGCTGCGACCCGGGCCGGGGGCTGCGGGCAGCGCTGCACCCGGTCACACATCGCTGGCCTTGTGCGGGTTCGTGGGGAAGGCAGCGGCGGCTCAGTCCGCCGTCAATCCTGTCAAAAAAGGGGGTGTGGAATTAGCGATGGCGTCAGCCAGAAGCTGCCAGAGGCCTTAGGTTTTCTTACCTATTAGGGAAATGAGGATGCCGAGTAATTTATTAGAAATGTGCGAACAAAACTGAATTGGGGAAAAACCGAGAACGTGTTGCAAAAAATCGCCGTAATTTAAAAATGAAATCGTAAATCATCTCATTTCTTAGGCTGTTAATTTTTACAGGCTAAGTCATTGAGTACTATTTAAAATGCAGTTAAAATTTAGATACTTAGACTTTTGAAATCTCATGTAATTGCTGCTGCTGGCGTTCTTTATTTTTTGAAGATCACATCTCCCAAGGAATGCTCGAGGCCTTCAGGATAAGGGGAGGAATGCTGGGTTAGTTCATTAGTGGTGCTGGACAAAAATGGCCAGACGAGGTAGGACAAGATGTCAGGCAAGAGTCTTGCTTGGATTCCTGCTGTGGTGAACAGTAAATCTTGGGAACTAAAAGACAATACATGAATATATGATGACAGTACAAGAATACAGGCTTTTATTTCTAGTGTGTCCTTTCCCAGTCTCCAGTGACCTTAAACCAGATGTTGATGCTTTTATATTTACAGTGAAATATGAGAAATTTGAAATGTACACTCCATTACCTAGTTTAATCAAGTTTCCTTTATTTTAAAGGAAAGCTAAATTACAGCTGTTGTGTAAATTTAGGTTACTTTGATTGTGGCCTATACCTGTAATTACAGGATCAGCCAAGCTTATAGAGAAATATCAATATGCCTTTTTGTCTACTGATTAGGTTGTCTGGGCTGCCTTACTTAATTTTCCACTAATTTCCATGAGCATCTTAGTCTATGATTCACTTACCATTGAGGGTTTTGTTTTTTTTTTATTTACTTGGATCTTGATTGGTGATGTACAAGTGGGTTTTAAGAACGTAATTTTAGTGCTTTCAAGTGTTCCATTTTAGGGCTTTTCCCCCCTTTGTTCCTGTCCAAAAGGTGACTGGGAAAAAGCCTTTAGAAATGTTGCTCATTGCCTGTTTGATGTTGGTGAAGTCATTTTGTCTTCAAGGATAGCTGCTAAGAATCTCACCCAATATCCTTCTTGCAAAACTGTGTAATTAATAACCGTATGTGCCCCAATTGCTGTAGTGACCTACCAGTGTTAGAGTCATGTTAGTAAATCTTGGAATCATATTATAATAACAAGATGAAATATTCTTTCACATTGGTTAAAGAAATTGGCGCTGATAGTGTTAACTGAATAACTGATGATTTGTCTTTAAAGAGGAGATTCTGCACCCTGTATCTGGAAAAGATACTTTTCTCAGAGGTTATGTACTCACAGGCACAATTTTTTTCTTTTTAGTTGCTGAGTGCTCACAACAGATTTTTTTACCTTATATTTTTTCCTTGAAAACTTATCTACATGCAACAAATAAATTTTCAAAGGCAAGCGATACCTGTTTAGTATCTGAGTCTACAGATTTCTGTTTAGAGGAAGTAGTTTCTAAAACTAAAATTTTGTGGCATAGCTTCCAATATAAAAGAAGAATTTTATTTTAATTAAACTGTATATTTTTGCAGAGAAGGCTGTGAGAAAGTGAAGGATGCACTGAGTCTTCCTCTGAGAGCTGCCAGCCTTTCAAAAGTGATTCAGTATTTGTAGATTAAAGAACAGGTTTGTGCTGTTAATGCTGTGAATAATTTACTTTGCAGAGAGGAAAGGGAAAAATGCAGTTATGATGCAGGGAGAAAAGAATGGCTGGGGGGCAGGCACATGGAATCCTAAGTACAGAGGAAAGCTAGGAATGACATATTAAGGTGGGTGGAATAGTCAGGACTTGTGCATTGGGAGTGCTGAAGCTACAGACTAGAAAAAGATACCAGAGGGACTGTGGTTGCAGCATATAATAAGTGAATGTGGAATGAATTTGAAATACTGACAGGAAAGAAAAATAGCAGGCAAAAGCAGTATGGAGGTGATTCTGGTCTTGTTTCAGGGCGAAAGATTATACTTCGGTGCTGTAGAAAAGGCCAGGAAGTAAGGATAGAAGGAGAATGAAAATTTTAGGCAGCCTACAGGGTGGAATTGAACAACATGGGTAAACTTAGACAATTTGGGGTAATTATGAAAAACTGAAAGGCTTGCACATACAGAATATATGAGGGGCAGGGGAGTAGGAATAAAATATTCTCCTTCAGGTGTAGTGAGCTGAGTTTGTGGAAGCTGTCATCAGTGCATTCTAAAAATCAGCCTCATGGAGGCTAGTCAGTCTCTTGATCCTGGAGTCTGCAGTTAGAAAACCTTTCTGCTTCTGGTGCAGTGGAGAAGGAGCAGCAGTGTGGATTTGATGGTATTGATTGTTTTTCTCTGCTAGCATTCAGAACTGATACTCATGCCAGTGTTGCACCTGCCAGAAGGACAATTGTGCCAATGGAGAGACTAGAGGTACAGAGGCAGGAATGCTAAGAGATAAGCTGGTGGAATGGGTGAGAGTTCCTTGGTCATTTTGAGGCTCTGAAAATGGAAAAAGTCCATCCTCCTGTTTGCAGCTAAAAATGGACATGCATTGCAGGTGGGTACATGGGATGGAGTGGAATTCCCAGTCATTCCAGTACCTGTAAATGAGGAGGAGTTGTGTTTCTGATCAGCAAGCTGTGTGCTTTGCTGCACAGAGCTTTTAGGGTGTGAGGAGAAAAAGCTTTGTGAGAGACGGGGGACCTGCACAGATTTCAATACTAGAGAAAATAAGAAGCAAAGCTAGAGGAATCAGGAGAAGAATAGCAAAATTTCTCATGAGATTGTTAGGACTGTGGTATAGAGAAGATAATACAGGTAATCAGGGTGTGCAGTGATGTGAAGTGAATGAATGTTGTATCTGGCCTTGAATTCTCAAGCAATTGCATTTGCAATTGCAATAGTAGCAATTGCCTTTTCCTAATTTTAGTTTAATTATGGTAATGATGATAGGGGTATTGACACTGAGGAGGAAATATTAGATTTTTCACCTTGCATTCAGAAAAGCTGATTATAGGAGCTCATGTGTGTCCTTCACTTGCAACAGTGATTATGAGGTGTAAGGGAGCCTAGTTCTGCGGCACCCTAATTTCCTAAGTGACAGGAAGATGTTAAACTTGGTAGTAGCCAAGATGGATGATGTGTTTAAAGCTTTTCGAACATTTTTATATTTTATTAAAGTCTTTGTTTAAAGTCTTCTTTGGTCTTTTAATTAATTGCAGAGAGCTTTTAAGTTGCAGAGTCATAAGCAGGCCTTACAGCTTGTGATTCCATTAAATGAATGGAGTTCAGTGACCCCTTCAGAGATGATCTGCCATGCAGAGAACCTGAAAGAGCCTTTTGCCAGATGCATGATTTATTCTGCAGATAACGAGGTTTAGGCTGTTTAAAATAAGCTTAAATTTCACTTGTCACATACATTCTGATAGTGGAGCTAAAGTTGTGAAATGTTTTTGTTTTTAAAACACAGTGTCAGTCTGACAGAAGCGATTGCTGTTCATGCTGTGATTCTGCTGATTCAGTTAGTCATTTAACTGATACTCTGCTCTAGCAGTTCATAGTTGACATTGTTTTCATAACAGTGCAAAGCTCAGCTCAGCCACTCCCCTCTTCATTAGACAGCGCCTGTCCAAATCTTTGGTTTTGGTCCCTATATTTGCTGTAAGGTGTAATGCAGTTGCATGATCCATCTTTTCTGCTTGTCTTGCTGTTTCTGTGTACAATTTCTCTTTCATTCCTTCTTTTTCTTCATTGATCCATTTGTAAGATTGCCTCAGTGCGCAGGCAATTGCAAAATGAGATTGACACCTTTTGACTTGCAGATGGGGATTCCCCATATGAGCAGGAAAGCTGAATATGGCACTGTAGCTGTTTTTTTTAGTATTAGTATTTTTTTTTTTCAACTCTCCCTCCTTTGCCCCCCCCTTCCCACCCCCCTTCTTTCTCTTGCTATCTTTGAAGGATAGATAAGATTAGATTTCAGATGAACATTTAGCAGTGATTCTTCTGGTAACAGTTACCTTACATTGTGTGAACCTTCTGGGATCTTAGCTTTCAAGAAGTTACGCTTTTCAGTCTTAGTAATTTTGGTCTGCATCCAGTGGGATGCTCATTTCATAGTCTCTGTTACCAAAGTAGGTTGAATAGAGTTTTGAATCTTTTTCCCTTCTTTAGAACTGGGGCCATGCATGTTGCTTGTAAGGTTGTCTTTTGTTTTTTTCTTCTGCTAAACATTTCCTCCTGTTAACTACTACTTCCCTTTCTTTTTCCTTGGATTATGTGGCTTGACTCACTTCCCCCTCCTTTCTGCTGAATTTTTTAAATATAGCATTTTCATGCTTATGAGGCCTCTTGACCACCCTCATCTGAGTTCTTCAATATATTTCTATTTAGATACCCTACTGTAAGCAGCAATGTCTAGAAAGTGTTTAGGGTTTTAAGTATGGTATTCAGGAGGAAGAGGGACTTCTCAAATTTCTGTTGCTTTTGAGATTTACATGCAGTTCAGTTTTCAGAATTGTTAGTTATATTAATGTAAGTATGCAGTGTTGGGATAAATTTGGAGCAGTGCATTTTTTTCTTGAGGGACCCTGACCACTTTTTGGTAAGAAAACTTGACCCTTGCTAGGCAGAACAAAATCTTTCTAAGCTGGAGAGCCATGCCCTTTCTGTACCCCAGAATCCAGCTTTCTGTGTAATTCACGCAGCACAAACTAACTCTGATTTTAGAATACCAAATAATTTTTCTTAGTTGACACAAGATCAGGAGGCTG